CTGCCATCAAGAGAATCTGTTCCTGTAAGTAGTTTATTAGGAACAAAATCCCCTATGATGCTTTTCCCATATTCTCTTCTCATTTTCTTCAGCAGCTTTATTTTCTTGTGCTGCATCCACCTTCAAACTTTTGTATTTAGCTTAGTTAGAGAGAGAAACAAATATTATGACAATGACAGCAGCCCATGAACCAGTGATGATAACAGCCTAGGCCTAAATATGAGAATTAACTAACAAGAAACAGGCAACAGGTCCAGCTGTCTTCAGCAATTTTGAGGGCTGAACTGGGAATATGGAAGATGTTCAAAGGGAACGTAAGTGGAGGAAGAAAACAACACAGGCCATTAACATGTACACCGCAGATGTGGGCTTCGTGAGCAGCTTTCTCCCTTCTTACTGTAAATCTGAGATTGGTGTTACCGATCACATCGATTATGTCAAATTAAAAAATGCCACGTGACCCAAGAAAGCTAGGGGGAGCCACTGTTGAAGGCACAGGGGAGAACTTGATCAGCTTAACCTCAGTGTCATGTGATGCATTGTTCTACTGTCCAGTTGTGAGGCTAAACCTATTTATTTCTCGGTGTCACTACTGACACTTTTCTTATTTGCAGAGTAACTCCCTTTGCCTTTCAAATCTGTAATTCAGTGGAAACCCTAGATAAGTAATATGACCATATAATTGTCCTAACTGGGTCATTTTGGTGAATAAAAGAGCATACTATGAAAAAATTGTTTTGTAATATACAGTTTACATTTAATATTATTTTGTGTTAGTGTCAGGTACACAGTATAGTGGTTAGTTAATTATATACTTTACAAAGTGTTCCCCTCAATATTGCCAGTACCCACCTGGCATCATACCCAGTTCTTACAATATTATTGACTCTATTCCGTGCTGTACTTTGCATGACTGTTTCGTAACCACCAATCTGCACTTCTTAACCTTCATCTTTTCCACCCAGTTCCCCTTCCCCTCTGGCAGCCGCCAGTCTTTTCTCTGTGTCTATGAGTCTGTTTCCATAGTTCTCTCTGTTTTGGACATTTCGTATGAATGGGATCATGCTGTAATCATTTGTGATTGGCTTCATTTGCTTAGCATAATGTTTTCAAGGTTCACCTATGCTATAGCATGGACCAGTATTTTTTATTGCCAAAAATTATTGTATTGCGATACCATGTTTTATTTATCCATTCATCAGTTGATGGGCATGTGGGTTGTTTCCACCTTTTGACTGTTACGAATACTGCTGCTATGAATATTGTTCTTGTGTGGACATACGTTTTCATTTCTCTTGAATATATATTTAGAAATGGGATGGCTGGATTATAGGGTAACTCTATGGTTAACATTTTGAGGAAGTGCTATTTTCCAAAGAGGCATGGGCACCATTGTTCATTCTCACCAGTGATACATGAGGGTTCCACGTGCTCATGTTCTCAGTGACACTTATTATCTGAGTTTTTGAATCTAGACATTTTTGTGTATGTGTAAGTGCTATTCCATAGTGGTTTTGATTTGCATTTCCCTGATGGCTAATGACGTTGAACATCTTGTCATCAAATCTTTTACTTATAAAATCATTCTGGGAAAAAGACGTAGACAAGTATATCTGATCTACTTTTTTTTTTTAATCCTCACCCGAGGATATTTTTTTCGTTGATTTTTAGACAGAGTGGGAGGAAAGAAGGAGGGGGTGGAGCGAGAGGGAGAGAGAGAGAGATATATCGATGTGAGAGACACACCGATTAATTACCTCCTGCCCCTGACTGGGGCTGGGGGGGTCAAACCTGCAACCGAGGTGCGTGCCCCTAATTGAGAATCTAGCCTGAGACCCTTCCATCCATGGGCCAATGCTCTAACAGCTGAGCCAAACCAGCCAGGGCTGATCTACTATTTTTGACTCATTTTCATGTATGACAGGAAAAACTTTTCTTCTAAATATTTGAAAACAAATATAGTCATGCTAATTCCGTAGTTTTCTACCTCTCTACAGTTGGCATGTTACTATAGTTACTGTGTGATTAGGAACAGCAATTCTGTGCATGGGATTTGCTCTGTAGGATTGCTTCTTGCATGGAGATGAGAGAACTCACTCAAGTGACTCCTCAGGGCTGACAAAAAGGCAGAGCAGACCTGATTGCCAAACCCTTTAAAACTTGATGCTTTTTCAGTGCCGTTTGCATCTGTGGTGCAGAAGTGTGTTCCACACGTGATAAATATCAAAGAAATGTGAGAACTCTGACATGGACACATAGCGTTAGTCTGAGAGATGGATGGCAAGATGTTTCAATGGGCTTTTTGCACTTTAATCATAATGCATTTGATTACATATGCCAAATGGTTAATTGTGAAAGTTGGGTGAGGGCACATGGGAAGATATATCGTCGTATCTGCTTCTGTACATGTTTATGTATTTCCATAATAACAAGTTATAGAAAAACAAAAGATGTTAGGTGCCTCATAAGGAGAGGGAGGGACCAAAGGATACCTGGCAAGGGTGCATCTGTCCATCTAGATGGGAATTTAGCTCTCTCTCAATAAGGTGATTCTGGAAATGTCATGCCTTTGGGCTGGGAAGGAAACCTCTTTCCATGTAACAGGAAGGGAAAAGGAAGGAAGTGAAAGTGTTTGTAGAGAAGCCCCCATCCCATGGCTTCTAGCTCCTCTGAGGACAGGGGTCCAGTGCATCAGCTGAGCCAGTGGAGAGGGACTCAGCCTGTGAAGTGACAGATTTGAAATCGATTTGAGGGTCTTTGGAGAGAGAACAAACTAAGGAAACAGGGACCTAAGCTTCATTTGTTTTGTTCACATGTTAGTAAACAAGGGATGATTCTTTGTGGAATGAGTTAATGATTTCCAGGCAGGTCTTGGATACCAGTAGAATAGATTGTGAGATTTAATCCAATGTTGATCAGTTACATATATAAGACATTTCTGGAAAAACACAGAGTAGAAATGTTGCCAGACAAGAAGGATTAAAGGGGACTGGAAGGGGCCCATTTGTCGTGGAGCTGTTTAAAATTTGGTTACCAGATGGACCCTCAAGTCTATCTTCGTAAGGGAGGGAAACAGGAGATTCGTGAACTGACAGGGAGAGAGTGGGAAAATGAGTGACCTGGGGTTGGAAAGTTAAGAAGGGGCACATCAGCTGGAAGGACAGGGGTTTCAGGTCCAGGGTGGAAGGTCAGACTGGATTATTTCAGACGGCAGAGGTGTTCCTGGCAGTAAGCTCTACACCCAGTGTGGCAGTAAGTGCACCGGAGTGGGAGTAAAGACACTGACACGAGATGATGGAGGGAAGGGGGGCTGGGGTACTGGCTGCTGGATCCACGTGGATATTAGAGCCCCCAATGCCTGCTCATCCCTTCCAGTTCCCTGCCTTGGGCTCCATTCCACCTTTTTGTTCCTCCCAGGACTTACACAAAATCTGCCTTTTTCTGTTTTGTTACCCCAAACTTCAGACATTGTAGGGTAATGGCATAACTTTGGACAAAAGATACAAGTGTCGTAGTGACAGAGGTTTCTGGTGGACATCTGTTTTTTTTTTTTGTTGTTGTTGTTGTTTTGTTGCTGTTTTTCCTTGACCCTCAGGATTCACAAGGCTTACTGGATAAACTACCTCAAGTGCTCTCTAGGACAGTCATTCCATTGCTGAGTTTCAGTCTGTATCAGCGGGGTTGACTTGCCTCCAGATGCCTATATCAAGGGTGGGTATGTGTGCAGGGTTGGCCAAGGAGAGCATTTCATGGAGGTCCATGGTGAGCCTCCAAATACCTGTAACCCTGGTGCACAGTCTAGAACTCACCTCTGGCTCATGAGCTGCAGGTGTTCTGGGGGACATTATAGCTGCCCCAAAGCCATGAATATCAAAGGTGACACCTCCATCCTGAGAGGTGAAATGTCCACACTAAGGGCAAGATCTTGCATCTGTCCAGCGAGCAGGATGGCAGGCAGGCACCGAGACAGGGAGGCCGTGCCTGAGGACATCCCTGCAAATGTCATCTCTGTGCCCGAGGTGCAGCCCTGCGTGTTCGGTGTGAGGCATCAGTGTGCTGTGAGGTGCTCTGTTCGGCCAGGGCAGGTGGAGCTCAGATCAATTTGGGGAAGCTGGGAGCCAGACAGGCCACAGTGTGGGGATGACGGGGCATAACCTGGGTTCCACCAGCAAGGTCACTCTATCCTCTCTTCATTTGTTCTTTTTATCTTAGTCTAAGGTATCTTTTCCTTTCAGCTTTGTTTTATCCTGAGAGGTAGGTGGCTGCCTGGTTAACATTCCTCCCACTGATAGTTGAGTCATGTTTTTGCTCAGAAAAAAACAAGCCATCAATCCAAAAGACAGAAGGGGCAGGAACCACTTCCCCATGGTGACCCTGCAGTAGGGATACATCAGTGACAAGATTAAAGTGTGTTCTCCATCACATTAACATGGCCCCTGACACAGATCGTTAAGCAGATCTGTGCTGTTTCTAGACCCTTCCCCAACCAGCCCAGGATCCACTGCAGCCATATCCCCCCAAACACCCCATCAGGGTTCACCCACCTGTGGGAGCCTCTGCTCCCTGCCTTCTAAGTAACGATTAAGCCACTGTCTATTCACTGATATTTTCTGAAAAATATGCCTGTCCTTGACCTTCTTCAGATACAGAAGGCCCATCTTCTCTGCTGTTGGAATGGATGTTGAGCATTCCCTGAGGGGTGGTGTGGGTGGCTCCCTGTTCATGATGGCCAAGCTAAGAGGTAGAAGACAGAGCCCAGCGCCTCAGCCTCATCAGGGAGGAAGTGGGCTTTCGGGGGCAACATGATACCTCTTTTTCAACAAGAGCTCCAGGGGACTGGTCATTTGAGAAGCCAAAGGAAGCAATCAGTAGCAACTGAACTAACTTCTTTCATTCCTTAAGCACAAGCCCTGAGACACCCCAAACCCATGCCCCCAACTGGAAATACAAAGACATCATTATTGTTAAGTGAAACATTTATTGGGAACAAATCAATATTCTCAACAAGGGAGGAAGTATTTTGGGGAGGGAAATTCTTTCCTCTGCAAATCCTGCAGAAGCAGTTTCTCCTGCACACCAGAGGGGAGTCTCTGAACAGGGCCTTCAGCAGAGGTGAGCGCAGCAGGAGGCCGGGGCAGCTGGAGGCTGCAGGGGAGCTTGGACGGGGCACAGTCCCGAGGGGCACTGATTGGGGGTGCTTCTGACAATAGCTGGTCCTTTAATACCACAGCTTTCTGAGGGTGTCTTTCCTCAGGGCGACAGGACTTGGCATTTTTCACTTTACAGGAGGGAGCCCTGGAGTTGAGGGGATGCCACTGGACAGGCTCGGCCCCTGGTCAGGCTCTGCTGAGCTTCCCCAAACTTCACTGTAGAGGGAAGGGGCTCTTGAGGGCAGGCGCCACCTATTGCTTGCTGACGCCCCAGTTTCTCCTCCAGGAACTTCCCAATGTCTGCTCTACTTATAACTGGGCCTCTGCTCTGTGCAGACAATATGGGGCTGCCTTTTCCTGGATTTTCTTGCTGTTTGCATTTAATCCCAGCATCTTTATGGGAAAAGAGTGGTTTATTTTATTTCTGAAAAAGCTTTCAGAAGGTGACTGTCCCTTCTGTGATAGGGCCTGGGGAGACTTGCTCCCAAGCCTCTCCTTTAATGCCAGGTCCTGAGCATGCAATCTCGTCCTTCCTGCTTGGGATGTTCCCAACCCTGCATCCCCTCCGCCAAGCTCTTCTGATTTGGAGCCTGTGGGGCTCACTCTCTTTGTGGCTGGTGGGAAATTCTTCTCTTGGCACAACCTTGAGACATGCTTAGGGACCCAAGGCTCCTGCTGCTTCTCCACACTGAGTCCTCGGTCCTCCCAATGGACATGTGGCTCCTGGGGAGCTGCTCTGTGCACCCTGGAGACACCCTGAGCATGGCTCAGGGGGGCTTTGTAAGTCAAGATGTCTGAGTCATGGGACAAGTCCGTGGGTTGGCCTCAGGCCTGGCTATTCATCCTTTTTCTCCAATGTAGCCTTTGACTCAGCAATGAGTCGCTTCTTTAGGATCTGGGAGAGCTGATATTTTGGCTGGGAGGCTTTCAGTGGTCACAGTCGTTGTTCCTTGACTCTCATTCACGTTTATCCTTTGGGAGATTCCCGGCTTGCTGGCTGTCAAGACATCACTCGTTTTGGGTTGAAGAGCATCGAGCTCCTCAGCCCTGGACACGCTGGGCATGGGAACAGGCTCTGATTTCTTCACCTTTTGGCCCTGACCGGAATTCACGCTCTGATCCACTGGCTCGTGTGCCGCCCCGGCTTGCTGCGTGGGCGGCTTTCGGGGGCAGATGTTGGCTCTTGGAGGACGTCTGTGACTCGCTTTGCCAATGATGCTGTTTGTGACAGGCAGAAGAGTGTGTCTGGCACCTCCAGTTCTCTGACCCTCCTCTGCCAGCCCATGGGGGATGTCGGAGGGTGACGGTCTCAGGGGCCCCTGACCTTCCTTGCCCACAAGTGAGGTGGCAGGGGGAGGAGGAGTCAGGGTTTTAGAGCTTCCTCTCTGGGGCGTGAAGCTCCCTGATGTGGGGTCCACCTCAGCAGTCAGGTTATTTGAGGATGATTTAGAATTATACAGGGAGTGGGAGGAAGTATCTCTGAAGGTCTCTATGGATTCAAGAACTTTGGCTGGGAGAGTCCACATCGCCCTCGGAGTAAACGTGGTAATGTGGGCTTCCAGCATCTGCTGTGCACGGGACTCCAGGGAGGAAAGCTCCTGGGACGTGCTCAGGCAGGAGTCCCCACCCTCTGATGGTGACAGACTTCTCCGTTTCACTGGAGTGTGGGATTGCACAGAGTGTCTGCTGGATAATATGCCATGAACTGTGCACAGTCCCTGGGAGCTGAACCACATTGATTTCCTCAAGCTTCTTGCTCAAATGTACTGTCAGGGCATTTTCCAGTTGTGTCTGTCTTACACTCTGCCCCGACACCACTGAATTTTCACCCGACAGACCCATCCTGTAACTGTCTAGGTCCTTCTCAGACTCATACCCCACCTCCTTATCTTGACTGGGGTCACGTCGTGTCGAGGTGGAAGGCAGTGAGACTCTGACACGAGCATCCTTCCAGGAACAGTCTGGAACTGACAGGCTTGGGTGGTCAGTGCCGTGCGGGACAGAAGTGGACAGTGCACCAGTGCTGTCCGGAGATGACTCCTCAGAAGAGGTTTTGATGAGATGGACATAGATTTAGGTTGAGGAGCAGCTAAACTGGGTTTTGGTGGTGGTGAAACAGACAAGGTTTGTGGTACGGGATAAGTCACTGAGGCTGCGGGACTCAAAGTCTGGGCCAAATCTGGGGAGTAGTTGAGATCTTAGATAATGGAGGACTCAAGAAAGATGGTATTCAGGGTCAGAGTTGTTTGCTCATTCTGAGTGTTGTGTGGTGGGAAAGAGGGAAAGGTGAGGGGTTGGGGTGGAAAATGGTCCACTGGGAATTCAGTTTCCAAAGAAGGAAAAGGTGCTGGTGGCAGAGAGTGAACTGGTGGTGACAGTGTTGGAAAAGCACCTAAAGGTGTCACTGGGTTAGGGGAGAGAACAGAGTGAGGTGCTAGTAAAGTCTTGAGCAGAGGAGGTGGTGTGAGGTCTCCCGCAGGGACTGCTGAGAAGGGAGGGGATGAAGTGAACGATGGCTCAGTCATAGGGGCTGTCGAAGCCAAAGGGGACACAGAGGGAGCAGTGTCTTCCAGGGACAAGGAGGACAGCAGCTGATCCATCTCAAAGGTTGCGTTATTACACACTTTGCAGGAGGGGTCTGGACATAACAGTTGACGAAAGTGGACGGAATCATGACGCTGGCCCAGGGGGCTGCAGGAGACAGGAGGGACAAAGCTGCAGCCAGGACCAGAACAAGGAAAGGAGGACCCACTGACCTGGTGGGGTGGGGCCCCTGCTAGCCCTTCACATGGCCCCACATCCATGACTACACAATGCACTCAACAGCACTCACCCCAAGGCCTTCACTCACATCCCAGTTCCTATGGTAACCCCCTCCCATGGCTATGGAAGGCTGCACTGAACCCCTGGAAACACATAGAACATGCTAGAGAGGGATCAGGAGAGAAAGAGAAAGAATAGTCACCTTTTAAGTATAGAAATCAGTATCTTTTTCTCTTCCTCTTCCCTCTGGTGGTATCTGCAACCTGGGAAACCAGGACAGTGGGTTACAAGTGGTCATCGTAGAATCACAGGTGATACAGAGGATCCCTTTATGGGAGACCATTGGGATATATACTCTGAAGCCCCAAGAATCAGTAGATGACGTCAAATGGTCAATGATAATATTAACAAGGTTCCTGCGTGTGCTGCTTCATTCACATACATTATCTCATTTGAATCTCAAAACCACTCTATGAAGCAGAGAGGTCAGTGGTTACAACAAAGAGGAATCTATTTGATCATCCTGAAGTCAAAGTTCCTTCACAAAGTCAGGAGCCAGACATTCTGACTCTCGACATCTGGGCAGCACCCACTGCCCACGTCCCTCACTTCTTCTTACCCAGGGACAGCAGGGGAGGGTTCTGAGACTTGTCTCAGCTTCCGACTGTCTTCCCATGAGCCTCTCCTCTGAGGGCTCTGTTTCCTGAGTGGGATTATATCTTGCAACTGACAACCTCAGAGATCATGACCTGGGCTATCATGGAAAGAAGAAGGGTCACCCTTGGGGAGCTCAGGTGAAATAGGCAGAACCTTACCTTTCGGTTTCTCACCTCTCCTCCTCCTCTTGGCTTGGCCCTGACTCTGAAAAAAAGCAGAACATTTCTCTCACTTCTCTCCTAAGGAAACACCAACAGAAATAATCCAGGAATAACAGGACTCAATTTTAATTACTAGAACTTTGTGTTCCTTCCTTTCATCAATTTTTATAGCTCTAAAATATTTTCAATTTTTCTTTTTCTTTGAAAAACTCAAAGTAGTATTGTCTCTGTGAGGCCCTCTGCTCAAGGAAGACATGGGATCTGAGGCCAACAGTCACCTCTCTGTCCCCTCAGAGAGAAGGAACCCTGTACCTGGGACAGAGCTCAGGGTCCTGCCTCTGCACAGAGGCTCTCAGAGGCTCAGCACTGCTCTCCTGCTCAACCCAACACAAGGGGAGGCTGCTCAGGTGAGGCCTGATGGGAATACGACTCATAGTGAAGTGCTTGGCAATTCAGTTCTTCTGCAGAGATCCCAAACTCTCAAAATAACCCAATCCAGGGCCATGAAATCAGTTTGGGGCTATTCAGCAACGCTCCCCCACACCCAGATGGTCTGCGAGTTCAGATGCTAACCTGAGTCCTCCCTGACCCCTCGCCCTGCCTGGTGTCTTCTAGAAGAGTGATGTCTGTATTCTCTCGGACATCCCATCTTCGCTGTCTCTCTGACCCAACTAAACTAGAAATGGAAACCAAAGAATCTCTGCTGGGCTCGTGCAGGGTTCCTTACCGTTTGTGCATGTTTATTTTCCCCGAAGATTCGAGTTGACCAACACCCCACCTGGAAACAGAAGATGAGGAAGAGCAACCACAGCACACAGACATAAATTAGGGTGCGGCGACAATCTAAGGATTGTGAGCAGAAGCTCTGATAAGGCTCTGGGACGCTCTGATAAGGCTCTGGGACGCACTTCAGAAACAGACTGAAAGTCATTTTCCGAGTAGCAACGCTGCCTGAGGCAACTGAGCTCTGAGACAGCAGGCAGCTGACTTTATGGCCAGGTGCTCATCACGGAGCACTGAGGCGTCACAAAGGGTTTCTGAGGGCGGGGGAGGGTGTGTCACAGCCCCTCCCCCCACCAGCCCAGCTGATGCCCTCCACCCATCTTTTCTCTCCAGGTCCCTCTATCCTGCTCTGCTATTCTGTTTTCCAATCTGCCTTTTAATATATTGTATACTTACCTTAATGAATGTTTTGCTTGTTCCATCTCTGACTCAGATTATTATCTGGGTCCCCTTTATCTTTGGAGACCTTGACTTGGGACTCACCAGGTTCACTACTTTGAAACTCTGAAATAGAGCCTGGAATTTTTGCTTGTACCCAGACATTTACACTCAGGATTATATCTGTCCTCAAATCTGTCTTTTCTATAGAATGTTTTGCCTTACATGCACCCAGGTCTAGAAACTAACATTCTTTTATACTCAGTTTTCTGAATATTTAATAGCAAATTTTTGATTTTGTTTCAGTTAGCCTTTACTGCCTTTAATCAGAGGGGCTAATTAAAATAATTTATTATTCAACATTCGCAAAACTAAAATGAGTATAAAACAAATGTAAATAATGACAATTTTAAGTGATCTTGGGGCAAATCTGTGACACTTATTTCTCTGAAGTTAGCAAAGCTAAAAGTACATAAAGACTTTCTGGATGTGCTATACACACAGACACACACACAATCTTTTTACAATACAACGTAGTATTTTCAAAATAAAGTATTTTCTCTTTTATTTCAATCTTTCATTTGTTATTTTGACCCTACTTATTCTTACTCCTAAAATACAGAGAGCCTCTGTCGTCTACATCAATGTTTGAGCAGCTGTACAATCCCTTACTCTAGCGGTTCTCAACCTGTGGGTTGTGACCCCTTTGGGGGTCGAACAACCCTTTTACAGGGGTCGCCTAAGACCATCGGAAAACACATATTTCTGATGGTGATTCATAACTAGCAAAATTACAGTTATGAAGTAGCAACAAAAATATTTTATGGTTGGGGGTCACCACAACATGAGGAACTGTATTAAAGGGTTGCAACATTGGGAAGGTTGAGAACCACTGCCTTAGTCAGTTTGGGCTGCTATAATAAAAATACCATAGACTGAGGACTTAAACAACCAACGTTTATTTCACACAACTATCGAGGCTGGGAAGTCCAAGGTCAAGGCACCAGCAGACTCAGTGTCCAGTGAGACCTGCTTTCTGGTTCCTAGAGAGCTATCTTCTCCCTACCACCTCTCCTGGTGAAAAAGGATGGTGACGGAGCTTTCAGGAGTCTCTTTATAAAACAAATTTTTTTTCAGTTGCAGCTTACACTCAATGTTATTTTGTATTAGTTTAAGGTGTACAACATAATGTTTAGACGATCAAATACTTTACCAAGTGCTCCCCCTGATATTTCCGGTACCCACCTGGCACCATACATAGTTATCACTATACACTATACACTGGCACCATACAATGTTATTGACTGTATTCCCTATGCTGCACTTTACATCCCTGTGACTACTTTGTAACTACCAGTTTGCACTTCTTAATCCCTTTACCTGTTTAACCCATCCCCCCAGCCCCGCTCTGATCTGGCAAATGTCAAAATGTTCTCTGTGTCTAGATTCTGTTTCTGTTCTGCCTATTCATTTATTTTGTTCTTTAGATTTGACATGTAAGTGAAATTACATGGCATGTGTCTTTCTCTGACTGACTTATTTCATTTGGCATGATACCCTCTAGGTCTATTCAAGCTGTTACAAATGGTAAGATTTCATTCTTTTTAATGGTTGAGTAATATTCCGCTGTATTTTTGTGTGTGTGTGTGTGTGTGTGTGTGTGTGTGTGTATACCACCACTTTTTTTTTTTGACTTGTCTATTGATGGGCACTTTGTTTTTTTCCATATCTTGGCTATTGTAAATAATGCTTCAATGAACACCGAGGGGCACAAATTCTTTTCAATTAGTGTTTTAGTTTTCTTCAGATTAATACCCAGAAGTGGAATTGCTGGGTCATAAGGTAATTTCATTCTTAATATTTTGAGGACCCTCGATATTATTTCCCACAGTGGCTGCATCAATTTGCATTCCCACCAGCAGTGCACAAGGATTCCCTTTTTTCCATATTCTTACCAACACTTGTTGTTTGTTGATTTACTGATGATAGCCATTCTGACAAGTGCTAGGTGATATCTCATTGTGTTTTGAAGTTGCATTTTTCTGATGATTAATCACATTGAGCATCCTTTCACATGTCTTGGAGGCCACCAGATAATTGAATTATTTGTTCTTTTGGTGTTGAGTTGCATGAGATCTTTATAAATTTTAGACATTAACCCCTTACATGATGTATTACTGGTGAATATCTGCTCTCATTTAGTAGTTAGTCTTTTTGTTTTATCGATGGTTTTCTTTGCTGTGCAAAAACTTTTTTAGTTCAATGTAGTTTTATTTGCTTATATATTTTTTTTGTTTACCTTGCCTGAGGAGATATATCAGAAAAAAATGTCTAAGAGTAATGTCTGAGATTTTACTGCCTATGTTTTCTTCTAGGGTGTTCATGGTTTCAAGTCTAACCTTTAAGTCTCTAATTCATTTTGAGCTTATTGTTGTGTATGGTGTAAGAAGGTGGCCTAGTTTCATTTTTTGCACATATCTGTCCCAACACTATTTATTGAATAGACTATCTTTACCCCATTGTATGTTCTTGCCTCCTTGTCTAATATTACTTGACCATATAGGCGTTGGTTTATTTCTGAGCTCTCTATTTTGTTCCATTGGTCTGTATGTCTGATTTATGCCAGTACCATGTTGTTTCGACTACTGTGGTCTTGTAGTATAGTTTGATATCAGGTTGTGTGATACCTCCAACGTTTTCCTTTATCAAGATTCCTGTTGCTATTTGGGGTCTTTTGTGATTTCATATAAATTTTTGGATTATTTGTTCTAGGTCTGTGAAATATGCCATTGTATTTTGATAGGAATTGCATTGAATCTATAGATTGCTTTGTGTAATGTGGACATTTTAATGATGTTGATTCTTTCTATCCATGAGGATGGTATATGCTTCCATTTATTTGTATCTCTTTCAAATTGAAATATGATACAATTAATAACAATGCTGGGCCAATAGGCAGAAATCAAAACTGTCCCAGGCAAATCAGGATATGTGATTATTCCAAGTATAAGGCCAGAGCTCAGAGGCTAGATTTGTATCAGTCTTAGAAAGATAACTAAAACATTATCAGGTTTCTACTTCACATCTTATTGTATTTTGGGAAGTATGAGGTGGTTTATATTAGAGCCAATTTTGCTTTATATTTTTTATACTTAGTTACTTTGATTTTACTTTAATTCAACAATTTGCCCTTCTAATGGAGGGTACTGAAATATTAGAGTAATTTTCTCCACTGTTCTCTAGTATATCTGATAGCATCTGAAGGTCTCACTGTAGTCAGCACAGGGCTTGCACTTAGAACTTCTCTAGAATAATATTTTAGTTTTCTGAGAATTATAGCAGTCGATTTCTGTGGAGGTGAAAACCTACAGTGCTCTGTTTTGTTCGATCAGCCATCTAGTTGTTCACTGATAAATGGGGTCACAAGAACAATGCATTGTGGTCACAAGGATATGGCTTCTCTTTTATCTCATTGTGAATGCTGAATCTAAACCATCAGAACATGATGACCTTCCACAGTTCAGGAAAACTTCACTTGGTTAGGCTGAGACCCAATCTATGCAATTTCCTTAATGAAAAAGTAGAAACCTTTCATGGATATTGAATGGGTTGAGTTTGACCTCTCTATCTTGAACTTTGGTTTCTCTTATTATTTTGAAGGGAGAGAGTGTGGTTGACTGCACACAATGGCTGACTGACCATCTTACAAATTGAGAGGCATCTGGCCCCTGCAAAATCATGAAAGGGCTGCTCAGGATGACAGATAATTTTCTGTTGCCTACTCATGTCCCAAAGCAATTTGATAGTGCTGACTTTTTTGCGCACCTGGGAAGACTTCTCATTTAAACTTTTATCCCAACTAACCCTCATCTA